GAGTACTACACCGCACAGTCACACTGGAGTACTACACCGCACAGTCACACTGGAGTACTACACCGCACAGTCACACTGGAGTACAACACTGCACAGTCACACTGGAGTATTACACTGCACAGTCACACTGGAGTACCGCACTGCCTGACGCCGCCCTCTGTGCTGTGTGCCCACAGATAAACCCCTGCCACTCCGTGCCCTGCACCCTGACCTCGGAGAGGGAGTGCCTGTGGACGGACGGGCTGTTCTCCCGTGGCTGGGACCAGGTGCAGGCCCAGCAGTACGCCTGCGTCCACCAGGGCGAGGCCGCCTGCGGCTGGGCGCCCCAGAAGCCCCTGCGCCCGGACGCTGGCCTGCGGCGGGCTCCCCAGGCGCAGTGACGCCCCCTGCAGGCTCAGCGGCGGGAGGGGCGCAGACCCTTCACCGACGCGCTTTTAGAAGGTTTCCAACGACGGAGTTCCACAGATAGAGCCGCCCCCCCAGCACAGCTTACCAGCAGCACCGCGGCTCGTTAACTGAAACTTCCTCGGCTCAGGCCCTCGTCCGCAAGAGCTCTCTCTTCTCTTCTGTGTTTCAATTCTCTTCCCTTTCATCAGCGGGCAGTACAGCTCCCCGCTCGGTCTTCTCACAATGTCTCTGGCATTTTTATAAAGATTTGTTTTAAACGTACCACTCGCAGGCTGTGATTTGTTCCAAAGCTTTCAGGACAAGGGAAGCTGGAGAAATGCTCCTCCATCTAGTCTGAGTCGGCAGCCCAAAACTTCAAAGAGTCCAGCCAGCAGAGAAGGAAGCTGGAGCTGCACACACCAGGGCACAAGGCAGCCCTTTGTACCCTGGCCAGTTAACTCCAGCAGAAACCACAGAGACATCTCACTCCTTCATGCGCCTAAACAGCTAGAAACAAATCTTGGGCTCCGCTAAAACACACAAGACGTCTGTTCATAAAGGCTGCTTTAAAGTATTTGCTTTAGATGTTCAAAGCTAGCCAGCGGCTTGGGTATTTAATGAACGACGTCTGCCGCCTAGTGGCCGCACGATAAAACTGCATGTCTACAGGTTCTGAACTACTAAGCAGCGATGACACATACTGTAGTAACACCAACCTAAGAACATGAAGCAAAAACGAGTATTTCATGTTTTTCATCATTTTAACCCCCAACAGCACTTAAGCTTGTAATTAATAAACACACCGGATATGGGAGAGAGATATTGCAGAACGTGTAAGAGAGTGTGTTTATTACAGCCTGGCACCCATTGGAATCCGAAGTTTTATTTTTAGTATTGTATTGCAAGTTGTTGTTGTTTTTTATACTCCTAGATTATTTTTCTACTCCTTTTTAAAATCTCTTTGAAAAATTAAATAAAAGCAGTAACAAGCTGTGGTTGAGATTGTTGTATTGCATTGCTTTGTTGCTCAAATTAAACGCGACGCTGACCCGGGTCAGAGAGAGAACCGATCGGGTCGGACTGTGACAGAACTCTCACAGGTGGGTCTTCTAGGCAGGAGGGAGGAGCCCAGGTGCAGCGGACTGCAGGGCAGTGGGGCAGAGGGGCAGAGTGGCAGGGAACAGGGGATGGGGGTCAGGGGGGCGTCTTCACTTCAGGAACTCCAGGGCTGTTGTGAGGGCAGAGCTCCCGAGTGTCTCTGCGTACAGCTGACGGGTCAGCTGGACACACAGCTCTGCAGGACGGCGAGGGGCCGAGGCGTGCACAGCGGCTCACTCACCATCTCCCTGTGGTTGGGGTAGTAGATCTGCTCGATCAGGGGGAAGTCCTCAGGCCCCATCTTCTTGTACAGCCTGGTCATCTGGGCAAACTGCAACACAGGACAGCACTGCTGACCACAGCTGCGTCACGGGCCTGACCCCCTCTCACACTGACCTGCTCTCACACTGACCCCCACTCCCCCACAGTACCCCAGGCTCGCAGGTCTGCAGCCCAACGCTGGGACACTCACCACCCAGGGCTTGTCGCAGAAGTTGAAGACGGTGTGCAGGGAGTTGACGCTGGGCAGGCCGGCGTACTGCAGCCCGATGACGATGTTGCGGAAGTCTCCGTTCTTGGCCATGCTGAAGGCATGCTGCCGGACCAGGACAAAGTCCGGCCGGAAAGACCTGTGGGCAGGATGGACAGGTGTCAGGAGCACACGCAGAGAAGAACACGCCAGCCTGCTCTGAGCACGACCGCAGATCGGTGTCTACGAGGCAGGGCACTCAGGGAAGTGTGGCCTTTAACTAGAGAACAGGACCTGCCCGAATCTCTTGTGGCAGCTACTGAGCTATCCTCACTACACACACGCAAGCATGCAAACACACACACACACACACACATTCATACTAACACATGCACCAGAACACAAACGCACATGTGTGAACAGAAAGAGAAGCAGAAGAAGGAGGCCCAGTGTTCACAGGGTAGAAATATGAATCTCCAGGACCTGCTCTCTCTCTCTGGTCTTAACACACCGTTAAACTGCTACTAATTGAAATCAGGCTCCTTTTTTCTGCAGCACACAGTGGGAATAATTATTCAATTACAATCCATTTCTGGAGAAAGGCTAATAGTTATTCAAGGACATTTACAGATGGCAATTAATATAAATGAAAGCCAGGTTTTGGGATTTTGAATTGAAGTGGTAAATCGCCTCTGACTGCAGAGCCCTGATGAACTAGCGCAAGCTTCTTGTTATTTTCCTACCGCACGTTTCCACCTCTGTCTTCAGTGAAATAAAGTGCCTACAGAAACACAAGGTAGGGTGTCCCCAACACAAAGGCTGAGACCCCAGTGCGGCCGTGCAGGGGAGACACAGGAACCATGTGCACAGCGAGGTCACACGCTGGCAGGCCTTGCAGTGGAGCTCTGGTGCACTGGTGATGCTGTGAACTCTGCTCACCTATTAGAACAGGGGAAAGGTCACAGAGCACAGATGTTTGCAGTCCGACCCATTTGGCAGTGAGTAATTGATCCAATGATATCATCCAGCTCTGTGTTGACAGAAGTCAGGGTATCAGTTTCAATGACCGCACAGCTTGTTCCACACCCCCACAACCCTTTGTGTAACAACGTGCCTCCTGAGCTCAGATTTAAATAACCTTCCACAATTAGCTCCTAACAACCCATCAGGCTAGATGGGCCCAGTGGGCTGCTCTCACTTGTCACCCTCTTGTGTTCTCACAGATCTTGGCACTTTGAAACCATCCAACATCTGTACTGGAGGTGGATACGTGGGAACAGCTCTCCAACATCTGTCTAGTACATTTCCTTGGGTCCGTATTTTTAAGAGAAGGGGTGAGTGCAGGAAATTGCTGTTGAAAATTGCAGCAGAGGGTGATACAAACAGCCCCAGAGCTCCGTGGCCAACCTGTTCCTCCAGTTAGCTGACAGATCGGTTAAGGTGTTTGTTTAAATGAGGGAATTTTTCTTCTGGTAGTAAATCTTGGATTGACACAGTTCAGCCAGTTCCCACTGCTCACGGTGAGAAAAAAGGAAGAGCATGCTCCCTTTGTTAAAACTGTGATTTATAAAAGAAAAAAAGTGTGCAGCATTCAGTGCTTGTTGGTTACATAGGAACAAGTAGAGTTTCATTTCACACTGAAAAAAAGGAACGAGAAACATGTTTTGGCTATAAAGTCTTCTTCAGGTATGCACCTTCCTATTTCTCAGCATGGAATGAACCTTCACTGATTCTTAAATGTGGCTTGAGTGCAGCATACATACAAACCAGCATCTTTTTCTTTGCAACCTTGCCGGTCAGAATGAGATCCTGCTGTTTCTTAGTAACGACTGCAGCTGCAGCACAGCCTGGAGTAGAGCCGGCGCCTGTGAGCACCGGCACACAGCTCGCGCCCAGACTGCAGCAGCCTGCCCTCCTCTCTCATGCACTGATCCCTGCAGGGGAGCTGAACACCGTCACCCCTCCACACCCTGCTGCACCCCGGCGCAGGACGGCACACAGCTTCCAATCAAATCCGCACTTCCCTGCGGGGCTGGGGGTGAAGATCGTCAGATACAGTTTTCTCCCCCGGAGATTCACTCCATGAAGAAGAAGGTGAAAAATCTTTGCAAAACACCGCTCCTCTAAGAGACATGCAAAACAAGGGAAACCGACACTCCAGGGAGGTGCAGAAAGTCCCTCGAGGTGCTCGAGCTGATCATGCAGCAGTACACTTCACGATCATCATCCTCATCCTCAGCCTCACCAACCTGCGTGCATTTACCTAATTTTGGAAACACTGAACACAACCCCGGCTGTGGCTCGGCCCCCTCAGCTCCCCCTCCCCTCCGTGTGCAGAGGCACAGCGGCTCAACCTACTTCGTGATCTTGTTCCCGTTGCGCAGGGCCTCGATGTCCACACTGTAGCTGCCTGTCGCGTGAGCCACCAGGTTTATCTCCGAGAAGCTGGCCTGCAGAGGGAGAGTGACCAGTCGTTAGAACAGCTTGTGGGCTGAGGACTCGAGGCACAGACACCCAACACAAACACACACACACATCCACAGACACACTCAACCACAAAGAAACACAGACACACACATCCACAAACAGGCATGTACACCCACAGACACACTCAACCACAAACAAAAACAGAAACACAACACAACACAAACACAGACACACACATCCACGTACACCTACAGACAAACACTGACACATAGACACACCCATAGAAACAATCAACCACAGATAAGACACACACTCACAGAGATACACAACACACACAGACACACCACACAACACAGACACTTAAGATACACAGACACACTCAACCACAAACACAGACAAATAGACACACACAACCACAGACACCAACACACAGAAATATACACACTCACAGACACACACCCACAGATACACCCTCACCCACAGACACACAGACAGACATGCCTACACAGGCACACACAACCACAGACACACATAGACACATAGAAACACACTCACCCACAGATACACACAAATCCACGTACATATATACACAAACAAACACACATCTACACACAGACACAGACCAACAAATCCACACACACAGACATACAGTATACCTATACAGACACAGTCACAAAAACACATGGACACACTCATACAAACACAAAAATACATGTATATGCATTTATGTACACATATTCATACAAATACATGTACACACAGTCATACTGACACACAAACACATGTACACACATTCATAGACAAACACATATAAACACACTCATACAGACACAGAAACACACTTTCAGAAACGTTATTAGTGTTTTGGGAAGGAGTCACATAGAGACCGAAGAACAGAGCCCTGCTCATGGCAGTGCGCTCTGTGATCAGTCTGCTGAGGAGTCTGGGAGGCAGAGCAACATGCGTCAGCATAGCTCCACGACCCCCCACTCCTGGCGGACAGCTCAAAGGGAGCGTCACGCCGACGTTCAAAGAATTGTCAATTAAGTCCTTAATTCACCTCTCAAGTACTTTGTTATTTTAAGAACCAGATTTTTGGGATATTATTCCATAATTTCACTCATTTCCGTTACCAGATCTTTTTAAATCTGTCTTCTGTCTGTTTTATATTGGAAAGGATCAGGGGGCTGAGTTACTGCTACAGAGTGTGGTTTTCAATGAACGGCATGACTAGCCGAGCAAGGCCCTGCATGCTGCTGGTTAAACAAACGACAATGACTGTCAGCTACAGCCCAACTTTGTGTGGTACAGGACAGGTCCTGCATGGCTGCACTGGGGTGTCAGCCTCTCTGCTGGGGACCCTCTTCTCAGTGGCTCTGTGTGGATGCTCTGTAAGTCATGAAGTCAGAGGTGGTCAACTTGTGGTACAAGACCAGTTCATCAGTTCACCAGTTTAAATCAAAAACTGAATAAGGACACTAAACTACACTCCCCTTGTTATCTATGGTAACTTCCTCCTAGCTGTGCTTCAAAACTCTGCCGTTGCTCAAACCTCCACCTGATGTAACCAGGTGTCTTCTCCTGTCCAGCCCTCAGGGATGTGGACACTCGGTCAAAGTGTGTCTCACAACAGATACGTGCTCCGGCTTCATGCAGCTTGTCCAGGGAGGAAGGAGAGAGCAGCGCTGACACTGCTCTACTCCAAGAGGGACTTACACCTACCTGCTCCACCTTGATGTCGAATTCGCCATGCACCTTCTTGCCTTTGAAGAACTTGACCCTGAGGGAGAAGAGGGGGAGAGACGAGCGTCAGGTTACAGGATTACGACAGCTGGCTCTGCTGAAGCAGGTTGACCGACTCCGCCCCACAATCAGGATGCTGCTTCTCTGCTGGCACCCTAATGATCGTTGTGCTGTGTCATTGCTGAACACCGCTGCTACACTCAGCATTCAGTGGAACAGGCAGCTCAACCGTGATTTCTGGGTCATTTGACACAGTGAGTTTTCCACAGCTTCCTCCTGGTGGGGCTGAAGCTCGCTGCGTGGTGCAGTGACAGTGTCCCCATGCACCTTACTCTTTCAAGAGTGATTATGAAAATATCCCCCCACAAACTTTCCATCTGGAAATAATCAGCTACCAGCCAGAGCCACTAAGCCCTGCAGCCTCCGTCCAGGAGTGAAGGATCCCAGACAGTCTGAGCCTGTTGTTCACTTCTCTCTCACACTGGAAACTCTGGAGGCTCGGAGAGTGAGGAGTGTCACAGGAGAGTGAGGAGTGTCACAGCACAGTCAGGTGTAACATAGCTCTCTCTGACATAACCTAGTTGTGTCTGACAAGAGCAGAGGAGTGACACAGCTCTCTCTGAGGAGTGACGCAGCTCTCTCTGTCTAGAGCCGGAGGAGTGACACAGCTCTCCCTGAGGAGGCACACAGCTAAAATCCACAAGGTGAGCTAAAGACAAGCTGAAGCTCTGCCTGTTTATCTGTTTACATCTTTCAAAAAGTAACCAGAACAGGTGGGCTGGGGACTCCACTGGTGTGAACTGATTTCCAGGGAGTGAAGAGGCAGGTCGCTTCAGAGCAGCTCCAGGGGTCGGCCACAGGAAGTGGGGGGGGGGGGGAAATGAGCCTAGCGACCAATCCCTCCACGGCAGGATGTTAATACTGGGTGCTATGGCAACGGTAGCCATCACAGGGAGAAAGACAAGGTGCTAAGAAACCAGCAGCCAAATGGGCAGGTTTCCCAGAACGCCGAGCTGCTCGCACCTGTCACCGGGAGCTGGCTGGCTGGGCGCAGGAGCAAAACCACGCCTGACGCCGCAGTGCAGATCTTCCCAGAACCGCCCTTCCTCACGTTCCAGAGTCCCGTCACGTTAAACACAAGACCTCCCATAAACACTACTTTCCCTCTCAGTACGTCAGCCCGCTCAAGACCCTGACCCACAGAACTAACCAGCAGGGATCTGCTGTGTTTGTGCATGCTGCTTTCTGTGCTTGGTGTTTTGGTGCAGCTGTATTGTATAACAGCGCCTTACATGTACTTTTCATCGTCCTGTTTCTTTTTCTGGTTGATATTCAGTGTTTAAAAAAAATACATTTCTATGTTCTTTATTTCAGTCGGATTTCTCAGCAGCCAAATGCCTGTTAAAAACCAGCCTCCTGCAGCTGAGGAGTGCCAGCAGGGCACAAGCGAGGTAGAACAAACCCCTGCTGCAGAGATAAAGACACTGCGCCAGTGCTGGGCAAAATGCAAGGTGTCACAGGGCCCAGTGCACAGCGCTGGAGAGACGGGACTCAGAGCAGTGTGCCGGGCCAGTGCTGTTCAACACTTTCCTAACCGGGCTACAGGGGGAAAAAGACAGTACAGGACAGGACAGGCAGACAAGGGAAGCTTTCAATACAGACGGGCCTGTCAGCACCTAAGGAAAAGTGAGACAGTGAAAAAATGCAACTAGTCTCAAAGCAGATGGTCTGCAACTGCAGGAAGCCCAGAGATCACCAGAACTGAGAGGTGAGCCGCTATAAATACCCCTTTAGACCACTGCACACATAGCCACAGTGCTCAGAGTCTGAGGAACAAGGGAAGAGGAAAGAGTTTAATGAGAGACTTTCTTGGCCTTTAACAATGTAGCTGTCATGCTGTGCAGAATAAAATGTAATCAACTCCTGCTATAATTGCATTACCCAGAAAATAGCATCAGTGCGACATTCATTAAGTTGCCGCCCCTCCCCCGTCTACCTCCCACTCAGCCTGCCTGAGTGAACATCGCAGTTCCTGGGGCAGCCGCTGGGAGCCCCCACTGCAGCATGGGCACCGTGATGGAGCAGCGCAGGCTGAAGGATCAGCCAGCAGGACCGCCTGCTGCAGCTCCTGCTGTGCTCACGCCCGGCTCTAAACTGTCCCAGCACAGGCCGCCCTTCGCTGTGGAACAGGAGACAGGAGGGAGGCAGCCCTCAAGAGTATCTACCACGTTTCCATTACTGCCTCCATCGGGCCTTGATCCACACCCCCAGGGTACCACACACAGCACGTGCAGGATGTTTGTGTCTGCTCCAGCCTGTGCTGGGCATTTTTCCTGTCTCCTGCCGCAAAGCTAGAGGTGACGCAGAACCTTTGCACAGCTCAGTGGGCTGTGAGCATCAGAAAATCGTGCTCACTGTAACTGCTAACTTTCGCTACTAGCAGAGACTAAAAATGCTCTGTCAGCTATTGAACCCTGTAGACTCCCTACATGCTTAAAAACATCCTGTAGCACACAGAAGCATTCAGGTTCTGAGCCCAGAAGGAAGCTTTTGAATGCGGCACAGTCATATTCCACCCTCCCACCCCCTTTCTATCCTCTTTATCCAATTCAGAGCTGCAGGGGAGCTGCGCCCTATCCTGGTGTGAGGCAGGGCTCACCCCGGCCAGGGCACACAGACACACACGCATTCACACCAACTAACCAGCCAGCATGTCTTTAGACTGTGGGAGAAAACCAGAGCACCCTGAGGAAACCTACACAATGTACACAAACACAGGGAGAACATACAAACCCCACACCGACAGCACACGAGGTCTGGACCTGAACGCAGGGTCCCGGCACCACAAGGCTGCAATGCTGACCACTGCGCCACCATGCTGCTCCAGACTCCATCTTCTAGGGCTTTATTGTCCTTCACCACACTTTAGATCTGAGCTGGAATACGAGTTAAAACCTGCAGTAACCTCCCTGCCCGTCTAGCCCAAGCCTCCAAGCTCCTTCCAGACAGGCAGTCTGATCAGAGGCGGTGCTGGTCGCCACAGTGCTCCCAGATAAATGATCCCTAATAGAGCTATTAATCACAGGCATCGCCACTGCCACCGGCTGCAGCTTTGTGCTGCAGCGCTGCTCTGCCTGGCTCCCGACAGCAGCGAGAGCGAGCTCGGGGCTCCACGGGCGACGCTCGTTTGTCTCCTTCGATCTGGGATCCTCTGGGAGACAGGTCCCGCAGTGAGCAAAGGGCTAGCTCACGAGCACAGACCTCAAGCAAATGAAAGACACACAAAGCCTAAAGGCACAGCCCACAAAAAAACAAATCAATTGTATAAATAATCCAAAATAATGAGCACAGTTCAGCTGTACCCCCACTACTGTACCCCACTCAGGGCTGCTGGGGAGCTGGAGCCTATCTCATCAAGCAATGGGCACAGGGCAGGGTACAGCCTGGACAGGATGCCGGTCAATCACAGGGCAGACCAGACCAGACAGAGCGCCTGGAGTAAACCCAAGCGACCGCGGAGAGAACATGCATACTCCACACAGACAGCACCGCAAGAATTGAACCCAGGTTCCCAGCACTACGAGAGGAGCTGCACCTGCACAAGGTCCCTGCTGACCACAGGGGGCAGAGTCTCATTAGGACAACGCTCCCTCATCGGAGAAAGTGGATCTCCTATGGAGAGCACCAGGCCTGCCCGAAACCCACCTTACAACAGCAGCAGTGTGCGAGAGCCAGGGAGAGAAAGCTGTCCTTTAAAAGACACGAATGCAGCACAGCGCTACACAGGACTACAGCAGAGCTGCATTCGTGGCAACACTGCCAGCTCCCAGACCAGACGTTTATTCCGGGGGTCAGTGCTCTTGTCAGGAGCTACACTTCTACAGCTGGAGGAAGCACGTGTCCTCCACTGCTCGCACTCGGCCTGGCTGTCCCTGGCAGAGCTGCACACTTGAACTCTGAGTCTGAGGTCAGGCAGGGATCGCTGCTCTCCCGTACACCAGCTCTCCCCTCAGCCAGCGTGTTCAGAGCCGATCCTCCAGGGACTCCTTTTAATCCGAGGTGGGAAAAACACTCCTTGGAGCATCACAGGTGTGTTCAACAGAAGAACCGAGGAAAGCAAATAAACCCAGGCGCTATCGAGCCCCCGTCTCCCAGGAGACCCCGACTGCTGGGCTGAAAGCACAGAGCCTGGGCTGCCTTCACACCCCTGGGGAGGGCTCGGACCCCCCAGGACAGGCGGGACGTCCCGGTGCGGTGCAGACCAGCCAGAGAAGGGGTCTCCCTGCACCTCCCCCGCTGCACCCCAGTCCCTGGGGTTTCATCCACAACCTGCTGAAGTCGGGGCGCAGTCTGCAAACACCCCGACATCTGTGCACTCTGCCGCTGCTGGGGGGGGCAGGAGAAGGGCTACAACACCTCTCAACACCGCCCTGCGGACACGGCACTCTCTGATCACGCGCTACGAATGTTATTATGGAAGGAGGGGAAAAAATAGATTCATTAGGTGATGTGGCTGGCAAGCTCTGAGCACCCCAAAAATAGAAACGAGCGGCTGTGTCACAGATGGCTGTAAGGTGTAGGACACCCCCAGCCCTGTTTCAGTTGGCAGTGAAGCTCTGTGTGCTGTCGGGCTGCGTGTCTAATGTGAGCACTGGATCCCTCCTTGCAGATCTCTCAGGCTGGGTTCGGCTCCCCCCTGCAGACGGGCCTGTCCCGTCCTGCTGCTCTGCTTCGGCTCTCCCGCCCAGCACAGCAGCCAGGACAGCGTTAGAGTATTTATGGTAAGTGTTAGCGTTAGGCTTCAGGGTAAGTGTTAACATGAGGGTCAGGGTAATCATTAGGTTTAGGGTCAGGCGCTGCCCAAGACGTGTTTCAGTCAAGGAGGAGGGATCCGAGTGCAGGAAAGCTACAGAGGAGCTCCTGGGATCCCGGGGGAATGTTCTCTGCATGCCTCAGCAAGCAACGAGATAAATTCGGGAGGCATTTGTCTTTTCCGACGGCCCTTATAATCAAACAGGCTTCCCCGGTGACACACTC